TCACGGTTGACGCCGTGACCTTGTTTCTTGCTTGCTGTGAGGGTTACAAGTTGCAAGCTCTAGCAGACTCTACCGATTTGGGTTATATCTTCAACACTCAACATTAAGCTTCGGAAGGACCGTTTTGGCGCCCCGCCGCTCCTTCTATGGACTTCACTATACCCGCATATCATTTAAACTTGCTAAGAGTACACTCTACAAACTTCTTCGACTGAAAAGTATGCTATACAGAGAGTTACAAGTAGCTCAATGCCTAGAAGGGCCTGGGTGAAGATGTCGGCGTTGTCTGGGATGCCCTTTGCTTTCTGCGTCTTCGTGCCTGTGCCGGTGGACTCAAGCAACATTATCCCTATGCGATGTGTTGCGTGTACATGACGATGGTGATGACGATGATGATGATGAGGATGAGGAGGAGGATGAGGATGAGGATGAGGATGAGGATGATGATGATGATGATTGACTAAAATGACGATGGTGATGATGATGAGCTGAATCTAGGCTATTGGGAAAGTGTTCTTCGGGGATGTTCCGGCCTGCCCCGTTGATGCCCGACGTGGCCTTGGTGCTGTTACCGCCACAGAAGGATGACTTGTCCTCAGCTTCGGGCGCGGATGGGATTTGGGGTTTGGGTGTTTGGGATAAGGGAGAGGTTGGGGATTGGAGCACGCGGCTGGGCTGGAGTGGGCACAAGGACCAACAGCAAAGAGTCGTTTGCAAAGGGCTTTAAAATACCAGGCTTTGAATCACTGAAGCCTTTCGCGCTTTGGGGCTGTACGTGTGGCTTGAAGAGCTTTTAGGACTTGAGGGCCTTGGGCCTTTAGGTTCGTTGGAAGGCCCTTGTTTGGGGGGGGGCCTGAGTGCTTTGGGCCGCGGCTTTCGGGCTGTGGGCTTAGGACCTGAGGAGCCCTTTCGAGGTCCTAGAGCTAGTGGTCCTACTAGTCGGGACCTATGTTAGGCGCCGCAATGTCTGAACTCCAATCTGATGTAAATTGTATAGCAACTACCCCGGACATGATTTCACACTAATCATACAAAACCCTCTGCCGGCAGTGCAACAGCTGAGGCCCCATCGAGCAAAACTACCCTGCCACCATGCTCCACGACGGTATTCGCGGCAGACATGCCTTTTCAGGTGCTGTCTACTTTCGATGTGGATCGTTGGTGCCGTATGGGCGACTGATAAGATATTCCCCTGATCCCCGAAGTTATGTGAACGAAGGTTTCGAGTATAGATTCGTGTGGTTCAATGTTCAGGCCGAAGGCGACGCTGCGGGGTCCTGTAGGATGGCGGTATTCAACGAGATCTGAAAGGTGAAACCCGTGTCCCACAACCCGAGACCCTCGTGCACCTCCCAGGCCGCCGCCGACGACGATGGCTTGGTTGGTCGGGAATGAGCACGCCATGGTTGGAACAAAACCTAGCGGATTTCGGAAGGGTTGATTCTGAGTGCTGTCTGGGCGTTGTTCAGTGGACGCTCCTGTGTATCAGCATAAGGGAAATTGAGCATGACCCCTAAGCCACCTAGCTGAAGGCTCGGAATCAAGTGTACTCGGTGTTTCGCTGTCCTTACTTAAGCTATTGGGAGGGGTCAATATCGGGGCCTAAAATCAACGCTAGACCCTGAAACCCTCAATAATGCACCCTTAGCCGTAAACCCTGGACTCTGGGTTCCTAACCTCGCTTGGGCACATATGACTCTATAAGCGGACAGTGATGATAACGCGAAATGACTCATCTTCGGACCTCTATAATCAACCTGCCAGGCGTGGCTTACATCGCTTGAACCCTAAGAGTCCGATCAGATCTTCATGAAACTATCAAGACAACTCTGAGCCCTGGGCTGTGCAAGAGCGCCAGACGACCGAGGGCGCCAAGGAAGAACCCTCTTAAAAGAAACAGCTGCCAGCGGTTCAGGGTCTCGGCTGGACCACAGCCCAAGGTTCCAGGTTCAACCGGGCAAACCTTGAATCTATTCCAGAACCCCCTAAACCCTCCACCCCGAAACCAAAAGCCCTGTCTCTGCACCCTCAAAAGGGCAACGAAACACATATGCTATCCATCTATCTATCTATCGATCGTTCTATCTGACGATCTATCCCTCTTTTGGTATATATTGAGATAGATAGATAGAGAAGATAAGATAAGACAAGACAAGACA